CCATTTTGAGTTAATTTTTGTATATGATATGAGATAGGCATCCAATTTCACTGTTTTGCCTGTATTTATTCAGTTGTCCTAGCACCATAGGTTGAAGACACTATACTTCGCCAATTAAGTGGTCTTGGCACTCTTGTAAAAAAAAATTGACCATAACATATGGGTTTACTGTTAGACTCCCAGTTGTATTTCATTGATCTATAACCCTATCCTTATGCCAATACCATACTGTCTGGATGACTAGCTTTTTAGTGAGTTTAAAATCAAGAAGTGTGAGTACTCAAATTTTATTGTTCTTTTTCAAGATTGTTTTGGTTATTCAGAGTCCCTTTAATTTCCATGTGGATTTAGGATCCACTTGTCAGTTTCTTCACAAAATATAGCTGGTGTTTTGATGAAGAGAGTGTGTTGAATCTGTAGATCACTTTGGGTAGTATTGCCATCTTAACAATATTAAGTCTTCTAATCCAAGAACATGAATTTCTTTCTATTTATTTAGATCTTCTTTAATTTCTTTCATAGATAGTTTATAGATTTTAGTGTACAAATCTTGCAATTCTTTGGCTAAATTTATTCCTAATGCTGTATTCTTTTTGATGCAGTTTGAAATAGAATTATGTTTTAAATTTCATTTTAGGACTATATATTGCATTATCTAGAAATACAGTTGATTTTTGCAAATTGATCTTAAATCCGGAAACCCTGGATCTCATAAATGCATGCGTGTGTCTGTGTCTGTATGTGTATGTGTATGTGTATGTGTATGTGTATGTGCATGCCTTAGTATTTTCTGTACATAAGAACATGTCACCTAAATAGAGATCATTTTACTCCGTTTTTTCTTCTTCTTTTTTTACTCCTTTTTTTTCTTCTAATTTGGATGCCTTTTATCTATTTTTCTTGCCTAATTCTATACAATGTTGAATAGAAGTGGTAATAGTGAACATCCTTAACTTGTTCCTTATCTTAGAGAGAAAGCTTTTGGTTTTTACATTAAATATAATGTTGGCTGTAAATTTTGTTCATAGATTTTCTTTATTAGGTTTAGTGCTTAGAGATAAATTTATAGCTGTAAATATATTTTTAAAGGAATCATTTCAAATAAAAAATCAAATCTTCTACCTTAAGAAACTTGAAAAAGAGGAGCAAACCAAACCCCAAACAAGCAGAAACAAGAAAATAAGAGTAATATTTGCCTCATAAAATAAGTAGGAAGGTGTTCTCTCCTATTTCATTTTTATGAAGTATGCACGAAGGATTGGTTTTACATATGTATGATCTAATGTTTGGTAGAATTTACCAGTGAAGCCATCTGGTCTTGGTCTCAGTGGTTGCCCTGGGAATTACAACTAGGATATTAATTTATAACAATCTACTTTAGGTTCAAATCAACTTAATTTCAGTAGTATACCAAAAGATCTTTCCTATGTAGCTCCATTCCCTCCACCTTACTTTGTGCTGTTATTGTCATACAAATTACAACTTTATACATTTTGTTTCCATCAACAGATTTACAATTATTGCTCATGCAGTTATTTTCTTAATCAGTTAGGAGATTTAAAAAGAATTACAAACAAAAACCACATCTATCCCATTTTTATGTTTACTTATGTAGTTACCTTTACTAGTTTTCTTTACTTTTTCACATGAATTTACACTACTATCAAATGTCCTTTTATTTCAACACAAAAGTCTCTACTATTTTTTATAGGGCAGGTTCACTGATGATTAATTCCTTCTGTTTTTCCTTATCTGGAAATGTCTTAATTTTTCTTTTATTTTAGAAGGATAGAGAATTCTTAGTTGAAAGTCTTTTTCCTTTAGCACTTTGAATATTTCATCTCACTGCCTTCAGGCCTTCATAGTTTCTGATGAGAAATCAGTTGTTACTCCTACTGAAGATCCCTTATACAGACTGAGTTGCTTCATTCTAGCTGCTTTCAAGATTCCCTGTTTGTGTTGGCTTTTGATAGTTTGATTATGATGTGTCTGGATATTCATCTTGCAATTTGTTAGGTTTCTTAAATTTGTAGATCAATATTTTTAATGAAATTTGGGAAATTTTTAGCTATTATTTTTCAAATAATCTATCTGGCCTTTTCTCTTTCCTCTCTCCTTCTGGGACACTTATTATACATATGTTGGTATAGTTGATGGTGTTTTGCAGGTCTCTGAGACTGTTCAGTTTTCTTTAGTGGGGGCCATAGACTCTTGCCCCTAAAGTTTACTAAAAATCACAGACATGAATCAGATTTATTAATAGGAGAAAAGGCACACAAATTTATTTAATATGTATACATGGGAGTCTTCAGAATGAAGACCCAACTTCCCAATGAGTTATAGAAACTTATATACCATTTTGAGGTTACAGAAAGAGTGGGGGCTTAGATTCTGATTTTTAAAAAGGTTATAGGAGCAGGGAGAAGAGGTTTAGCAAACAAAGGTGGACTTTTTATGTAGATGAAGCCACCATCAAAGAGAATAGATGGAAAATGTTTCTTCTCAGACTTTTAAATGTGTCAGACTTTCAATCTCTCCTAGATCTGGGGAAAAGCATAGAAAGGGGAAGTGGCACAGCTCATTAGTGGAGATTCTCCACATTAACGCAAATGTTCCCCACTTAAGACAGCTTTGTAAGGCCATTTCTGCCTGCTGGCAGGAGACTGACATTTCAAAATATGTCAAAGAACTATATTTTGGGGGAAAATATTTTAATTTCCTTCACTTTATTCTTTGTTATCTGTTGCTCAAACCAGACGATCTTAGTTGACAAATCTTTAACTTCACTGACTCTTGTGCCTGCTCCAATCTGCTGTTGAGCTCTTCTAGTGAATTCTTCATTTCAGTTATTTTCTTTTTCAACTCCAGAATGCCTATTTGGTTCTTTTTAAATAATTTCTTTCTCTTATTAGTATTCTTGATTTGGTGAGACATCATTCTCATAATTTCTTCTATAGATATGATTTCCTTTAGTTCTTTAAACATATTTAAATAGTAGATTTAAAGTCTTTCTCTATTAAGTCTAACATCTGGACTTCCTCAGGGAAAGTGTTTATTAGTTGCTTTTTTTCTTGTATAAGAGCCATTTTTTTGGTCTCATCTCATATATTGTAGTTTTTCTTTTTTAACTGGATGTTTTAAAAAATATAACGTGGCCACTCTGTATATTAGTTTCTTTCCCCTTCCCAGGGTTTATTGTTGTCACTGTTTTTGCAGCTGCTTGTTTAGTGACTTTTCTGAAATAATTATGTAAAATCTGTATTCTTTGTTGGGGTGGACACTGAAGTCTCTGCTGAGTTAGCTTAGGGGTCAGCTAATGATTGAGCAGATTTCTTTAAATGCCTAGAATCAATAAATCTCCTAGCCTTTGCTGATGGGCTCTGTGTGTGTGTGTTGTAGCATGCCTTCAACAGCTGGCCAGGCAAATTACAACTCTACCTTATTCTTTACTTCCTGCTTGTGCAGAGCCTCAAGGTCAGCCAGAGGAAAGAGCTTAGGGACTTTTCAGGCCTTTCCTGAGTATGCACACACTCCTATGCATCCCCACAGTTACACGTGTGTATGGTCTTCTAGATTCCAAGAAATATAATGGAGCTTATTAACACTCATTTCACAGCTTTTCCTTTTTTTAAGAGACAGAGTCTAACTCTGTTGCCTAGGCATGATCTCAGCTCACTGCAACCTCCGCTCAGGCTCAAGTGATTCTCATGTCTCAGCCTCCCAAGTGGCTGAGATTACAGGCATGTAGCACCACGCCTGGCTAATGTTTTTCTTTCTTTTTCCTTTTTTTTTTTTTTTTTTGTATTCTTAGTACAGGTGGGGTTTCATCATACTGGCCAGGCTGGTCTCAAACTCCTGACCTCAAGTGATCCACTTGCCTCCCTTAGACTCCCAAAGTGCTGAGATTACAGGTGAGAGCCACTGAGCCTGGCCTCTCAGCTTTTCCTTTTAAGCTTCCTGGTAAGCCTATTTTTTTCCTCAATTGTTATCTACTAACTCCCAGCAGCTCTGAAATTAAACAATGGTTTCTTATTGTTCCATGCCCCTAGGGAAAAGGCTATTTACACTGGACCATCTCCAAGTTAGGTCAAATAAAGATAGCTTTGTAAGTGGTGTTTCAAGTAATCACCAGACTATTTAAATAATGAAACTCCTCTGAAATAGGTGTTAAAGGAGCTCCAGCCCTATTCTGCCCCTTATGGTGTCTGCCAGGCTACTGGGTTTTCACTGCAATTGTGCACTGTTGGTTTTCAAGGCTACCATGGAGCTGGGGATGAGAGCCAGGGGAACAATGGATAGGCGTAGGGCAAGTTAAAATGCTACAAAGCTCAGTATTCGAAGTTTCAGCCATTTGTTTCTGTTGTTGTTATTTTATAAATTCTCCAGGATTGTTGCAACACTTTTGTTAATTTCCAGAGTTTTGATAAAGTTGCTTCTAACCATATTTGCCAATTTGTCATCACTTTTAAGCAGAAGAGAATTTTATCCTTCATTTTAATGAGGAGAAAATGACAGGTTCTTACTCATCATTTTACTGCCATCACTCCCTAACTAAGAAAGTTTTTAGGAAATTGAAGTGGCCTTTTACTCTCTCAAGTCAGAGTGTAAGGTAGGTTGGCTTTTTAATGCCACATAAGTCGTTAATGGAAAATGGATCTCATGGAAATCTAAGAAAAGGAATTCATGGATCTGTCTTATCCCTCATTAGACAGAACTTTCCACATTAGGGCACCTGACACGCTGCTTCCCAGCCTTTGAATTATCTACCCTTAAGCTATATGCCTCTGTAGCTGTGGAGATGATATGCTATAACAGAAGGCTGCCTAAGATTTGCACTGTAAGCAGAAACTATTCACAAGAAGGTTTCCATGTGAGGGTCTATTGGGTTGGGGGGTGGGGAACAAGGTACAATATACATTTCTCCCTGTGTGGCCTATAGGGAGGTTTTTGTTGTACATAATGGTGACTGAAAAATTATGATGAACACTTATTTATTTCAGTGGAAGATATAATCCAGCTAAGCAGAAGACAGTGAGTGCCAAGAGAGGACCAGTAAAAAAGATTACAAGATCAAACTATCTTCCAGAACTCCATCCATGATTCCAGAACTGGGTGGATTTCTATTTCTTCCTTTTTCCATTTTTAATATTCAACTTATGAAGTTAATGGTCAGCACATTTCTTCAGGGAATAAAATAGATAAGAACTGCCAAATTTTTCTTTAGCTCCTTTTCCAGATGTGTGTTCCTTTGTTTGCATAAAAGTAATTTTCTCCAGTGACCCTAAACTATGAAGTGCTTGAGAGTTTTAAAATATCCTAGGGAATCTGAAGGCTGGCATCGTTACACTTACTTTTAATGATACACCCATTATCTGCTCTGATAGAAACATTGCTATTCTATTTGGTTTCTAGTTGACTGTCAGCAAAAACTGTGTATTCATAAAACCTTTTTGCCATTTTGGGCTGAATCTTGCTCAGTTTTTTAAATTGCACGTTTAAACAAAGCCAAAAATCAAGTCCATTTTAAGTTTTGACTTGAAATATTATGTTATTGTAGAACAACCTTAGATCATAAATAAACTTGTCTGTAGTCTCCACTCTGCCATGAACTTAGGAGGTCTTGGGCAAGTCCCTTCACCTCTTGTTTATTTCCCACACCTGTAAAATGACTGAGGCAAAACTATACACTTTCTGAGGTTTTTTACGATTCTAGAAAACCAGTATTTATTCAATCATAAGGTCCTACCACTTACTTAACACTAGTGATTTAAGTCATTTTGTGACATGTGGTAATTCATAGTGATGGAGTAATTCTTTAGACCAAACTGCAATTGTTCACAATACTCAAGTCCAGACGTGGAGATAGAATGAGAATAAGAAAAGAGTTCTTTTGAGGCATTTATAAAATGTATTGAATCCTCTCATTCATGGTTAGACTGTTTTTGTCTTTTAGATAGTTTTTGTAACTGTCACCTAGGTCCGGAACATGTAACTTATTTGTCCACTTTAATAAGTGAAATCATTGGACTTCAAATTTATAGAAATCACCTAGAGGTAAGTATAGTTTCCATCTAATGGTGTTCTCATCCTATATCTGGCACTAAACGTAAATTTAATTCTGTATCACCAGTAATGAATACCAAATGCATTTCTGCAACTACTTCTATAAAAGTTTATTTTCTTTCTTTAAGGAAGAATATATACATTTCATATAGCCAAAAATATTTTAAGTTATTTTAAAATGTAATGTGGAAAAATATAAAGTAACTTTCTATAAATTATTCTACATTGGAATTATTTGTAAATATTTTCCCCTATTCTTTAGCTAACTATTGATATTAGGTGCCTTGACCCATATCATTAGATAAATATTAGATTTTTATGTCTTATACCATCTTTCTCAGCATTAGTAGAAAATTAATAATTAAAATAATAATTATAGGCCAGGTGTGCTGGCTCACACCTGAAATCCTAGTACTTGGGAGGCCAAGGCAGGCAGATCACTTGAGTCCAGGAGTTTGAGAACAGCCTGGTCAACATGGCAAAATTTGTTTCTACTAAAAATAGAAAAAATACAATTAGCCTGAAATGGTTGTGCACGCCTGTCATCCCAGCTACTCAGGAGGCTGAGGCACGAGAATCACTTGAACCTGGGAGGCAGAGGTTGCAGTGAACTGAGATCATGCCACTGCACTCCAGCTTGGGAGACAGAGTAAGACTGTTTCCAAAAAAAATCATGATTATAATAATTATAATTGTCAATGAAAAATAAACACATTTTTTTCCTTTCATACAGAGCTAAGCTATTGTGGGGACTATTGAGGGACATTTAAAGTTATCTCAATCACTGGGATAAAATATTAGTTGAACATCTTATCGCAGGGACTCTATTACATTTAAGTGTTGGTTCTGCAGGAGCTACTTTGGGATACTTTTCAGATGCCATAAAATGTCTGTATTAAACGGAATGATGGAATGTTGAGAAAGTATAAAGAACTGAAATGAGGGACTCCAAGATCTGTATTCTAATACAGTTTTGCCACTTATAAGCTTCTGACTTTGGTAAATAACTTTTCATATCTTCAGTTTTATCCTTTATAATTACTGCCTTGAGATTGCTGTGCAGATAAAGGGTACTTACCACGTATTTATTTCTTTACTTCTTTATAGCCTCTTTCCCACTAGAAGGGATGTGAGTTAGCTTTTACTAATATAGAGGTATCAAAAAATACCTACAAGATAAAAGATGAAAATAAAAATTATAATTTAGCAAGAATTTCCAACCAAGAAAAGTTTTAGTTTTAAGCTTTCTACCAGTCAGTGCAAAGAAGCAATGACTGCTTTCCTCTGTAGAAGGAATATACAAGTAGAGAAAACGTTTTATCTAATTCTAAGCTCTGAAAATAATTTTGTCATAAAGAAAATGCAATTACTGGCTGGGCATGGTAGCTCACACCTCCTGTCACTTTGGGAGGGTGAGGCAGGTGCATTGCTTGAGCCCAGGAGTTCCAGACCAGCCTGAGCAACATGGCAAAACCCCATCTCTACAAAAAAGACAAAAATTAACCAGTTGTGGTGACACATGCCTGTAGCCTAGTACTCAGAAGGCTGAGGTGGGAGGATCACTTGAGCCAGCCCAGGAGGTTGAGGCTGCAATGAGCCACTGTACTCCAGCCTGGGCAACAGAGTAAGACCCTGCCTCAAAGAAAAAGGAAAAAAATCTAATTATTTGCTGCAATAACTGCAGCAAAAATGACAGTTTAGGGTCTTTGATACTCAAATATGTATTGACTTCAGTAGTTGTTTTCTTTCATTGGAAAGTTCAGAAATCATAAAGCAAAACCATCAGTAAAACAACATAAAAAATTTTAAGATATCTAAATGTATTACAAAATATCAAGACATACCATTTTTAAAAACAAATATTGCCATAATAAAAAAGACAGATCATGAGTATTGACATGAGTGTGAAGAACCTGGAACCCTCATATGTTGCTGATGGGGATGCAAAGTGATACAGCCACTTTGGAAAACTGTCAGTTTCTCAAAAAGTTAAACATGGAGTTACTGTATGACACAGCAAGTCTCTTTGGTATATGCCCAAGAAAAATGGAAACCTATGTCCACATAAAAACATGTACAGGAAGGTTTGTGGCACCATTATTCAAATAGCCAAGCAGTGGAAACAACCCAAATGTTCATCAGCTGACGATTGGGTAAATAAAATGCGGTATATTCCAGCAATGGATATTATTTGGCAGTAGAAAGGAATGAAATGCTGATATATGCTACAACATGGGTAAACCTTGGAAACATTATCTTAAGTGAAATAATGGAATAACAAAAGACCATATATTGCATAATTCCATTTATATGAAATGTCAAAAAATAGGCAAATCCATAGAGACAGAAAATAGATCGGTAGTTGCTGAGGGTTGGCAGAAGGGTCGGTGATGGAGAATGACTGCTGATGGGTACAGGATTCCTTTTTGGGGTGATGAAAATGTTCTAAAATTGATTGCAGTGACAGTTGTACAACTCTGTGAAAGTAATGAAAATTATTGTATACTTTAAATGGGTTAATGGTATGTTTTGTGATTTATACCTCAGTAAGGTTGTTGTAAAAATGTTAAATATAAGTTATTTTAATATTAATTAGTAAATAAATGTTAATGAAATATTATTTGATCTTTCTCAAAAATATGATCCTAAAAATACAAAAATGCATTATCACTAGTGCTATTACTGGGTATAGAGCTTACTTTTTATTTATTTGTGTGTGTATGTGTATGTGTGCGTGTGTAAAAACACAATAAACTAGTTGGAACATCTGCTCTGTTAGCATATTTGTACCTTCTCTGCCCTTATTCATGTTCTATTCACATCTCTTCAAACAGTCCCCTCTTAAAAGAAGAATTGGACCCTTTAGAGGTCAGCTGCTTGGAGACATTGGGTTTCAGTGCTGCTGGTGTGGCTGGACCAGAGAACAGGACATGCCTTGGATAAAAAGCTCTCTGGCGGCCAGGCATGGTGGCTCATGTCTGTAATCCCAGTACTTTGACAGGCCGAGGTGGGCGGATCACAAGGTCAGGAGATCGAGACCATCCTGGCTAACATGGTGAAACCCCTTCTCTACTAAAAATACAAAAAAATTAGCCAGGCGTGGTGGCGGGCGCCTGTAGTCCCAGCTACTCGGGAGGCTGAGGCAGGAGAATGGCATGAACCTGGAAGGCAGAGCTTGCAGTGAGCTGAGATGCGCCACTGCACTCCAGCCTAGGCAACAGAGCAAGACTCCCTCTCAAAAAAAAAAAGCTCTCTGGCCCGCCTGCTTACATGGGTCCTCAACCTTGGCTGTGTGTCAGACTCACCTGAAGAGCTTAAAGTAAAATACTCAGACATGTGCACTACCCCCAGGATTGTGATCTCACATGTATTTCTTTAAGCCTCCCCCCAGGAAATTGTGCAGAAAAGATTGGGACCCACTCTGCTGGTTCAGTGTGGCTCCATCTCTCAAACTGAATGAAACTTCTTCCAACTCTCCTCAAGCTGACTTCACCTTGGTCTTTTTATTTTTACTTTTTTACAGTGAGAGATAAGGATTTTATTTTTTCTTTGTTGTTATTTATTTCAATTTTTATTTTAGATTCAGGGGTAGCTGTGCAGGTTTGCTACCCTGGTATATTGTGTAATGCTGAGATATGGGGCACAAATAATCCTATCACCCAGGGACTGAGCATAGTAGCCACCAGTTGTTTGTCAATGTTTGCTCTCCTTTCTTCCTCCACCCTCTAGAGTTCCCCAGTGTCTATTGTTGCTATCTTTATGTCCATGTGACCAGTGTTTGGCTATCACTTGTAAGCAAGAACATGCAGTATTTGGTTTCCTGTTCCTGTATTAATTTACCTAGGAAAATGGTCTCTAGCTGCATCCATATTGTTACAAAGGACATGATTTCATTTCTTTTATGACTGTATAGTATTCAATGGTGTATATCAGGAGTCCCTAGTCTCTGGCTATGGACTGTTACCTGTCCATGGCCTGTTAGGAACTGGGCTGCCCAGCAGGAGGTTAGCTGCAGGCGAGCAAGCATTACCACCCAAACTCCACCTCCTATCAGATCAGCAGCAGCATTAAATCCTCATAGGAGCATGAACCCTGTTGTGAACTGTGCATGTGAAGGATCTAGGTTGCACGCTTCTTATAAGAATCTAATGCCCGATGAGAATTTAACTAACGACTAATCTGAGGTAGAACATTTTCATCCCAAAACCATCTCCTCCCAACAATGCAGTCTGTGGAAAAATTGTTTTCCATGAAACCAGTCCTTGGAGTCAACAGGGTTGGGAACCACTGGTGTATATGTAGCACGTTTTCCTTATTCAATCCACTGTTGGTGGGTACCTAGGCTGATTCTATGTCTTTACTATTGTGAATAGTGCTGCGATGAGCATGCAAGTGCATCTGTCTTTTTAGTAGAAAGATTTGTTTTCTTTTGGATATATATACCCAGTAATAAGATTGCTGGGTCAAATGGTGTTTTAAGTTCTTTAAGAAATCTTCAGACTGCTTTCCACAGTGGCTAAACTAATTCACATTTCCACCAACAGTGTCTAAGTGTTCCCTTTTTCTCCATAGCCTCACCAGCATCTGTTGCTTTTTGACTTTTCAATAATAGCCATTCAGACTGGTGTTAGATGGTGTCTTATGGTGGTTTTGATTTACATTTCTCTGATGATTAGTGATGTGGAGCATTTTTTTCATGTTTGTTGGCCACTTGTATGTCTTCTTTTGAGAAGTGTCTGTTCATGTCTTTTGCCCATTTTTTTTTAATGGGGTTATTTTTTGCTTGCTGAGTTGTTTCAGTTTCTTATAGGTTCTGGATATTAGACATTTGTCAGATGCATAGTTCATGGATATTTTCTCCCATTCTGTAGGTTTTCTGTTTACTCTGTTGCTAGTTTCTTTTGTTGTGCATAAGCTCTTTAATTAGGTCCCATTTGACAGTTTTTGTTTTGGTTGCAATTGCTTTTGAGACTTAGTCATAAATTCTTTCACAAGGCTGATATCCAGAATGGTGTTTCCAGGGGCCAGGCCTAGTAGCTCATGCCTGTAATCCCAACACTTTGGAAGGCCAAGGCAGGAGGATTGCTTGAACCCAGGAGTTTGAGACCAGCCTGGGCAACATAGTGAGACTGCCATCTCTACAAAAAGTAAAAGTTAGCCAGGCATGGTGGTGCACGCCTGTGGTCTCAGCTGCTTGGGAGGCCGAGGTGGGAAGATCACTTGAGCCTGGCAAGTCAAGGCTGCAGTGAGCTGTGATCATGCCACTACACTCCAGGCTAGGCGACAGAATGAAACCCTGTCTCAAAAAAAAAAAAAAAAAGGTTTCCTAGGTTTTCTTCTAGGATTCTTATAGTTTGAGGTCTTACATTTA